ATACATATGTGCACAAGTAAATACATACTTGGCAATTTTGTGCATAGAATTGGTTTTCATCGTTGCACAGACTTTCGAGGAGTCCCCGGTGGTGTATTGTGCTCCGGTGCGATGGAATGGAATGAAGTGCCTTGGCCACAAAAGCGCTATGCATGAGTCGTATTTGTACATATATGTACTTATGTATATGAGCATATATTTATAAACAAATTTATGCGTATGTAAAAAATGTTCGACTGCATCAACCAAGCCGACAAGTACCAATGTATGTATGAATTTGTATATAAATATAGGCCTATATAAGTACATACATACATATGTATATACGACTCATACATAGCATGCATATTAGGGTACCCCATAAATACATTTTTTTTTGAAATGTTAAGCGCCCTAGTTGCAGAAAGTTTGAAAATCCGCCTTAAAAAATGCCAATGTGGGAAAGCCGTGTAGTATATTTTGGAGAGAGTTTTTAGATACAACTTTGAAGATAAATAGTATCATATTTAAAGCGGACTTTCAAATCTTGGATATCAACCAAATTGAAATTTCTTTTTTGCACTTTAATTAGAATGTCGAATATCAACTTTCTGCAACTAGAGCACTTCACATTTCAAAAAAAGTGTATTTTTAGGGGGTACCCACCCTAATGTATATCATATACATAGATTGTTGTACTAATTATGTTTCTATATACATACATACGTAATATGCATATGTACATATATGTACTTACATACTTTATTTTTGTGATGACAAAAAACGCTTCGTTATTGAGGGGTGGATGGATAAAGCCGATGGAAAGAAACTAAAGAAGCCACTCGAATAAGCGATATTCCAAGAAACCTACTTAAGTAATGGTTGCATTGTGGGTAAATTACATACATATCTTCGGCATGTGGAACAGTAGAAAAACGCTGCGCATAAGTTGTCTGCAAAACAAGGAACTCGACAATATTTAGGTCGTTTTCTAGATATAGTAGCCGTCATCGATTCGCTAACAGTTAGCGAGTGGCGAAACGAACGAACTTAATGAGGTACAACATACAACTCACTATCGTCCATCCTTGCTAGCTAACCTTATTGTTGCGGTCACATGTAAAATTTTTTGTTAAGCGACCGGAAATCAAAAGGATGGTTTCGTGCGCAGAAGTCCACGTAATTGGAGAAAGCTTTTTACTGTCATTCAGCAGTGATTCTTTTGCGTGCGGTTCAAGCAGCTCACGTATCCACGGAAGTTGAGAAGGCGAAAAACTTCGCGAGCGCTGGGGTTGGATTGACGACCGCAGTGAACGTTTAAAGAAGTCCAGACTCTTAATAGGAAGGTTCCTCTGCCCGGCTGGTTGATGTCCTCGTGAAGGCAAAGGGCTGGTTTCACCGCCATTCAAGAAATGCGATGGACGGGACAAGGAAAGTAGCGCGAAGGGCCTTGCGACCGCTATTACAGCTGCCACATAAAGGAGAGAGAGAGAGAAGCACCCCTCGAAGGAAGAAAAGAACAAAGCATCCATGCATCATCGCGACTATCAAAATCAACGCGAAACGTCTGATGACAGACTGAGGCATAAATAGATCCATCAAGGTACCTCGATGTCTCCAGATCGAACAACGAGAAACCAAATCGTTCATGTTTTGATAAAAGCAAGAAACGCTTACAGTGCAGCCGTATTTTAGCGACTCTGAAAGAACAACTGGTACGATGAGGAATGCCAAGCTGTGATCGAGCGCAGGGCGAGCTATGTGGGAAGGATATAGGGAGCTGAAAATGAAAGCGAGACATATTTGCCCCAATACGCAGATAGAAATCCAAATATGGGACTGCGAAGAGCATAAAATGCTGGCCGACAGGAAAATGTCCGAAAATTTTACAAGAGAGTTAGGCGACTTACGGGAGGTTCTAAGACCAGGGCGAGCTTCTGTAAGAAAAACCATGGCGACCTAGTGACCTATGTATAGAACGTAATTAAATTATGGAGGGCACACTTTTCCACCCTATTGAACGACAGCAGCATTGAACGAAAGTAATGGAGTCTGTTGAAACTTATACCGATACCGTTCAACTTTCTTTATCTCTACAAAGCTGGTGAAAAAATGATATCTCCAATGCTTGTGTCGCTTTGATCGTAGACCTAGACATCTTCTTCGTGCCGAAAGCTTCCTCAGTGAGCACTTGTTAACCGACAACGGTCGGAGCCTTTCTGCCCTTAGTCTGAAGGTTAACGCTGGTATAAAGAAAGTTACATGCTTGAGAAAACGGCTCTAAAACTGTTATGCCATATGAATACACATTTATGTACATATCGTTACCTTAATTCTCAAAGGCCCTAACCAAAATTTTTTTTCGAAACTGAGTTTTTTCGCAGATTTTGGTAGGATATATTAAAATACACCTTCAATAAAAATTTTAAAGTCTTACTTAGTACCAAAAACAACATGCCCATTTAAACAAGCCCTACATGTTTTTGATATTCTTTTTGTTATGTTTTTTGCTTCTCCTGTAAAATTACAAATTTGTTGGTTAGGGCCTTTGTGACTTAAGTTAGCGATATAATCTAAAGGCCACCCGAATAGAGTCCAATGTCGGCTCCTTTCTTCGCCTTAAGGCATTATTAAGGCACCTTAATAATAAGAATATATATTTAGTTACAAGCTGACAAATTTGAACGTTGTTTATGCTACGAAGTGCACTACCGACAACAAAATTTAATTTTTATATTCTCGTTAATGCAACGGGAGCACCAAACTTCATTCTATGCCCGCCCCAATGAAATAGGATTATAAATAGTAGTGATACATCATTACGTACTTAGTTATATTTACGGTGACCATCCGTTCTGTATTGTAAGGGGCAGTACTCTTTTTTTACGTCAATTGTCCTGTTAATTTATTTATTTCATACGGGACGAAAAATGTTCTGTATTTCTTTTAATGTCTCGTATTTACTCCGTATTCGGTATTTTGACGCCCTAAGCGGTCATAAAAATGACATGCCTGTGAACCATTTTTTATTTTTAAATCTGGACGCTTGTGATTCGAATCGAGGAGCACATATGGACATAGATGGTTTCTCAAGTTACATTTACATTTGTGTAGGAAAACTGGATATTTGTAAACTATAGCAAAGTAGCAAACGGTGATAGAATCTTCCACTAACGCCCAAATTAAAGATATAACTCTCGACTAATATCTCTGAAAATACCATCCCTGCAGCTTGACTTGATGGTCATTTGTAGTCATTTATTTAACAGCAAAAACTGATTTTGGCGAAGTTTGAGTCCCTACCGCAATTAAACAAAAGGTGATAGACTTAGACTTTAATTAAGCCTTGAATTTTCGACTACAATCCCTAAAAATACTATGCCTGCATATTGACCTTAAGGTCACTTATAGCCATTTATTTAACAGCAAAACCTGATTTTGGCACAATTTTTTTGTCATCAAAAGCACAATTTTCCAGTATTCCAGGCTAGCAGAAAATACTAAAGACAGGGTAGTATACCATTGTTATTGAAGAAAGGAAACAAAGAAGAAAAAGAGCCACACAATGAGTTGATTAAAAAAATCACGATTTCTACATTTGTACAGATTTCTGCATTTTGACAGTAGCCGAGTATGGTTGTTTGGAAATTTTCTAATTGAGCTGAACTCATTCTCGATACAAATTTCTAGACAATACCACTCTGTGGTCGATGAAACTAGATAATCGTTGTATTAAGACCTAAAAAATGTCAAACTTTGTTTATGTACACAACAACAAAATACACATGGCTTTCGGTTTTTGCTCTGGCGTTATTACCAGTCCAATGTGCTTGGTGTGATGCTATTCACTGCATTGTGCTTGACCGAAATCCGAGTCTGAAAATAATCCTTTGAATACCACTCGTGCTTCAAAAGTAGTCCGATATTTTCATAACGTTTCCATGCCTAGGAATGTTCTTAACAAATTTTGCGGGATAAAAATCCCGAGCACAAAGTACAAGGTTATGGGAAAATATTCTACAATCGTGTTGTTTCTACTGAATATTTATTTGCTGCTTTCATAAAAGATCGAAAATACATATGTATATGTATCCCAAACAAAGGGCTAATAAATCTAGGATCGTTGAGAAAGGTTTTAAAATTCTCTAGCTTTTGTGGAAATAATTGCCAAAATATTTTTTTGCTCCGGATGCGACAGCCATAAATATGGTCACCGTACCTGCAAACATATGTACATATTTACATATGTGCATGATTACATACATGATTATATACATATGTACATACGTATTTCTACACAAGCTATATTTATGAAACTAAACGCTTTGCAAATAAATACGAGCACGAAAGCGCTTTTATGCTTTGGCACATACGATACTCTCTCTTACCCACCGGCAAGTGGCTTGGCCATTAATGGAGGCATTGATGGCCGCCGAGTGTGAGGAACTTTAATGAAGTAGTGGAGAACATACTCGTATAGGCATGTAGGTAAATTGTAAATACATACATACGTTTGTATGCTATACAGGAAACTTTTCGCGGGCAAGAACTTTCGACAAGTCGCTTTCGTTCAGCGCTACTACTCTATGTACCGTAAAAGTTTGAGCAAAACAGCAAATAATTTGCCATAGGGGCTAGCAGGGATGCGAAAGTACTTATTTAGAGGTGTATGCGTGTCCATGTAATTTAGTATATAAGTTTAGTAAATTCTAAAGAGTACAGCGGAGTAGTTAGCGGCGCTCGAGGATGTGCTGCAAAGGCAGGCCAAAAGCATAGAGCAAGTGCAGAAAAGCGCATTTGAAAGCAGAGCCAAGGGATTGGTGGTGGAGATGCAGAGAGAGAGTGGGCAAGGGATTCTAATTTTAAAGCTGCAGCAGAAAAGCAGAAGAAATTGCACATCCAGTAAACAAAGAACTCCGGACACGATCGGTCGATCGCGGTAATATGCCACACGTAATCGGTTTGTGCTATCTTTTTGTTGTTCGTTTTGGTTTTTTTTTTTTTGTTTGTCAACTGGCTATAATGTGTGGACTGATGATGATGTTAACGGCGATGATGGTGCTTGATTGTTGATTGAACTTTTGGGAGAAATGTAAGAAATATGTATATGTATGTAATTAAAAGCATCGCCAATTGGACCATGGCACTGCATTTGCAATTTTGCACTACACCGCAGGGGTGGAGCGAACAGTAAAGACTATGTGTGTTTTTTTTTTGTTTTTTTTTTTTTATTAGAAAAGCTGTGAACACTTGGTGTCAGCAGTGTGTTGGTTGTGTGTTGCTCAAGCAATGGGAGTTGGTGAAGTTGCATTTGAAAACTATTCTACTTAAGCGAAAATTTAGGTGAGTCAGTGTTGGCCAGTTGGCTTGGCGTTTGAAGTGTGCGAGTGCCTGACTTTGCTTGCACAGTGAATTTTAGTGTTGAGTTTTAGCGAATTTGGTCGAGTTTGATTGTTTAGCAGTTAGCATTGACCTTAAACTTGTTCGGCAAGTTATTGCACGCAATGGCAATGGACGGTTGTAAATATGTACATACATATGTTGTGGCAATGCTGGTGGTGTTGGCGTTAACGGCCACTCCACTGTGACTCCAAACATTGCAGCGCCAACGACCCCACATCCGGCTGCAACTCGTTTGCGTGTATTATTTATAGAACACCAAAAAAAAAGAGTTAAATATTAAAAAAAAATTCAACCAAAAAAAAGAACTCTTTCGAGCCATTGCCGTTTTTCCACGCTTTAGTTGGAAGTGCTTTTTTTGCAGTTACTGGAAATTTCTAACCAAGCCAGTGCAAATGTATTAAGTTTGTACATATCGCACTTGATTTTCAAAAGTGACACAACTCAAAATTTGGCATTTTTGAAATAAGGCACTAAAAATGCACACAGAGCTTTTATTTAGCTTCAAGCAAAAGCTGGAGCAAATTTTTGTTATAGGTAATTTGTTGGAAAAACCTAAGGTTCTACGAAATAGTTTTTCGCATTTTCTGACGAACATGTAATTTTGAGTTGTGTCACTTTTGAAGATCGTGTGCGATATGTATAATGCATGTAAGTTCATACGAATGTATATATGTCGCGTCGCTTGGGGCGAGGGGCGCGGTACCGCGTTTCGAATGCATATTTCGTCTTCCAAAGCTTCAACTGCATGCATCGCTGCAATTATTTTTATTATACATTGACAAGAAAGAATCTTCCAATGTATACGTACCAAAGCTCCATTGCGAAAGCTCTTTTAATCAATGGCAACGGTCAATGTACGTAGCCGAAAGCTTTTGTTAAGCCATACTTGCATACATATGTATGTATGTATGTACATGCACAAACAGTAAATGACTTTACTGAGAGAAGAACCGTCTCACCGCACAGAACTCTAAAATAATCTCAAACTCTCATTTTATGTTTTTGTTTTTTTTTTTTTTGTTTGTTTGTGCAACATTATCCTCCAACCCGTTTGTTTGGACACTAGCAGCTGCCTCTAACAAGTAGACGACGTCGCTGCACGCGTAGCATAAACTTCAAGGTGAACTGTGAAGCAAAAATAAAGGAGGAAAAGCCTAAGCGCGTAGCATCGCAGACGGAAAGGGCGAAGAACGTCAACGCACTCTGGTGCACCAGTCGCTCATTGGTGGTGCTGGTGGTCTGCTGTTGCTGCTGCTGCTGCTGCAGGCAAACAAAAACCTACAAAATCTAAGCAGTCGAAAAAGAAAAAGACGACGTTAATGGGCAACCGAAAGATTGCACTTGTATGGAATTCAAGGGTCTCGCTACAATAAAAAAAACAGACAATTAAACTGTCTTATATACAAACGAGTAAATAGAATAATAACCGGCAACATAGACAATGGCTAAAACGCGAATAAAAACAACGCCGATGCGCTTGAAAAAGGATGCGTTAATGGCAACAACTGCCAGAACCGCTGCCGCCATAACAAAATCCGACACTACAACAGCAACGACGTGTCACATTGCAGCACCGCTGAACGATGCCAAGGTAAGAGAAAAAACGGTGAATTGATGGGGGATGAGAATTTCATTGGAGAATTTAATAAATAAACAACACTGAAATGAGCTAAAACAGAAGAAGCGCTTAAGTTGGATTTTATACATATATTTTTGGTCTACTTAGTACAATGCCTCAATAATTTTGTGTTTTACATTAAGTGACCTCATTTTGAATAATATGAACGGATGCTATTTATATGATGTAACGCATCGAGATGCAATGAGATGTGACCTGATTTGATATATTCAAGTGATGTGATATACATATTTCATTGTATGTGATAAATTTTGAAACAAAGTGACTGTGAAACGTTGTGCTATGTTTTGATATGTTATGTTGTGAAACAATATGGTGTGAATGGTGGAATAATACCAGGTGAAGTAATAAGAGCGAGAAGCAAGATTTGACACTACCTTATTGGAAATGTTCGCCCCTTAGATTTTTTTAAAGGGTAAAGGCCAGAAATATTAAAAAGAATTACCCTTTTTGACTACAAAAGGGGTAATAAGGCTGATTTCCAAAACGTCAATTGATTTGCATACGTAAAATGTATAAGGTTCCATAACGTCGAACTAAAAATTATTGACAATGTATGCTGTTCCAAAACGCATCACTAGAGCAATCGGCGCATCAGAAACAAAGTTGATGCTTCGTTGATGCTGATATTTTTAGGCAGAAAAATATGTTAAAATGTGGAAATTAGTTGAAAAGATTTTTCACAAAAAAAAACAAAAATCTTAATAAAAGTAGCCAATGCAGCAACCAATTAAAAGTGACAGTTAATGCCAATATAAAAGCGTAACACGTAATATTAATGGTTATAAGATTTAAAGAAAAAATAAATTTAAATAGGATATGGGTGGTTTATAAAGATTAATCGATGCTCCTTTTTGCCTTTCAAACGCTTATTTAAATAATTTATATTGCACTTAAAAAATAGCCTTTTCACATTTATTGGAAGGTCTGTTTCATGGCTGTGGGATAATAATTTTTCGGAGAAGTTGGTGCTGCAAGAAATTACTTTGCCATTAAATATTTGAAATATCCAACTTATTTAGCCTAACCTGCTCCGCTGGTGAATTGAACAAACGGACGCCTTCGTAAGTTCCCGTTTTTTTTTTTTGGATATTACACAGCTTGGCTTAGAGAAGCATTGGCTCAAATGGAATCTATGTTGAGCAAAATATTTGTAAATATAATCAAAAACAAGTGAGGTTAAAATATTTCGTTCCTGGTTATGTGGTTATATTTTGAACTCAGTTTACAAAACTAAATAAAATACAAAAACAAATACCAAAATACAAAATTTTAAACCCAATAGTAGTATGACTGAAAGGGTAAAATAAATTTTAATGTTCATTCTGTGATAATTTTTTAAGATATAATAAACAGAAGCTGAGGTTTGAAATGAAGTACAAAACCAAGACTACGAAGGTTTTTCGTAGTACTTTTACGAAATTTTATTTTCAGTGTAGTGATCTGATATCATGTTTTGCTGTTTGTAGTAAATCAACGGTCGATGATTATAAATGTGATTGACTACTCTTATTACTGTTAATTTAGCTCAAAATTTTTTTAAACTTTCTATAGACTTTTTAATTGATAAATGTTTTTATTCTTTTTCCATAGAAACGCTTCCGTCAATCGGCAGTTCTGGCTAATTCCGTGCACAGCGGTGGCGGCTCATCGACGATCATTGTTACAGCACCGAAACGTACAAATTCCATTTCATCAGTCGCCTCATCCATTTCGCAGATCAGCGATGCAAACTCTGACACCGAATCGCCTCCACCACAAACAGCGCTAAAAATGTCAACAACAACAACAACAACAACAACAGCAGCAGCAACGACAAAATCTTTACTCACCTCACATATTTCTTCTCAGGCGCCGCCACGTACACTGAACAGTTTGCTGTGCAAACATACAAATGCCATTTCAACGTTACGTAATCGCAAAGTATTTATGATCACTGAAAAATCGGATGAACCCAAAGGAGCGGAAACGTCCACAACGGCAGCGGGTGGCGGTGCAACATCGGGGCAGAAGAGAAAAATGTATCTAATCATGGAGGAGAATAGCTGTCCAGAAGACTGTCCAGGCGGGACTGAGGAAGGTGGTAATTTAGCTAATGATGGCCAAAATTATGTAAAAAGAGAGAACGGTCTGATTGTAGGCGCAGCAGGTGGTTCAAAAAAGTTGACACTCTTTGCTGACAAAGCAGATAGTGGCGTGCTGACGGAGAAGTTTGAGAAGATATTGCCAGAGATATTGAATCGTATACAGGCCAAAGATACGTCTGCGGCGCCGATGGTGGCGAACGTGACGCCGCCGCCGCCGCCGCCGCCCCCGGTGGCCACATCGAAACTACTGAACGGCATTACTGCCAATTTAAATATCGTTAAGTCTGAACCCGTACAACCACAACCACAACCACAACAACAACCACAACATAACTTAAAAAAGACGACTGAAGAAACCAATGAAAGACTACCAATTACACTGCCACCAAAAAAGAATCGCACAAAAATTATTTCAACAAACAGCAGCAGCAGCAACAACAACATTTCGCAGAACGGTAGCAACATTGTTGTTAACCCTTTTAGTGACAACTTTAATAGCGGCACCGGCAGCATTTGGGGCAACTTTAGCAACAGTAACAACAACAACAACAACAACAAACAACAACATAAAATTGGCACACAATGTCAAATTAAGCAGATATCTGCTGCTACGCCGGTCATTGTGTCGGCGCCGGTCAATGTGGCTGCGCGCAACAACAACAACAACCACAGCAACAATGACAGTGCACCCGTAATAAAGCGCTTCGCTCCACACAATATCAATCACAACACCAACAACAACAACACAAACATTAGTTATGCAAGTAATGCGAGTCAAGCTAATGGTCCAGCTACCACATCCATGGCTCAAGTAGAGCTGGTGCCTCATAAGAACATCAATTTGTCCACTGATTTTCACTTTCTGATCAAAATGCTGCCCAAGCTGGAAAGCATTCCAGAGCCACATAAAAACAATGTAAAGAATTGCATCGAGAGGATAATCACACAAAATGCGAACATATTTGCCAAACAGTAGTAGCGGTCGGTGCTGTTGCCACAAGTTTACAATTAGTTAATAATACGTGTGAATAAAATACAAACACATGAAGACTATAAAAATATTCTTTATATACAAACGTAGCTATATAAACGTAGTTATTGAGTTTTGTATTCTAAAACATTGAAGTTTATTTAATTTAAGTGAGTGCACTTTCTTTTGAAGAGTCAACGCATTTTTTACAAACGAATGTACGGCATTTGCTAGAATAGTTTGTTTACGAATATCATATGTAATAAGATATTTACGATTTTGAAACGTATTTTAGTTTAAGTTTTGCATATAAAGTGTGCATATATATGTGTACAACAGTTGTCCAAAAAATAATAGTAGGGCGATATTTTGATTTGAGTTTTGGCTATTTGTCTATTATTTATTTAATGTTTATTATTTTTTTTTATAAAAGTCTAGCTGGTTATACAACAAACACCATAAAAATTTACATTTCAAGGTTTGTACCAAAAATATAAAAAATCTGCAAATTTTCGCCAAAATGTCAAACTTTTTAATCTGAATGTCTAGAAAAAATGTTGGTATGCAGTTTTGTCGCTCATTTAATTCTAGTAAAAAGAAGTGCAAGTTTCAAGTTGGTAAAAAATTTCGTTAATTTTTGAGAATTTTTTTTGGTTGAAGGTGTTTCACGTTTTTTTCCGTACAAAGTATGTTCGACAATTTTCTTTTATATGGGGGACACTTCCAGCAAAAAAAAAAAAAAAAATTGCCAAAAATGAGCGGAATTTTTTAGCAGCCTGAAACTTGCACTTCATCGGAATCGGAATTTGACTTGTATAGTAAAGTAATAAATATTAAATAAACAAGAGACAACAAATAGCCAAAACTGATCAAAATATCGCACTCCTATTATTTTGTGGACCACCGTACATACAATTAAGTACGCATGTATGTATGTACTTATGTACATTTTTTATGCTTTTTGTAAACACAGACTGACAGCGGTAAGGCTGCAAAATTATATTTAGCTATACTTCAAGTAAATTAAATTTATTGCAAGCGTGTATAATTGTGAAAATAAAATGTCTCGAAATAAAATTTCTCGAAAGTTAATACACATACATACATATTGGAGTAACCGTAACTGGATACATAAGTCTATTTTCGTAATTGATGCATTTAATAAAAATAGATTTACTAAAAGAAAAATGTTCATTACTTTTTAATGTTCCTGCAGAAAATGACTCTTATTGACGAGTACACAGGTTTGTACATTCCTGAAGAAACTGCAAAAGAGATATTTGGCAAACCTTCAAGTGTAATTATGCTATGAAAAAGCGTTTCATCAAAATCTATCTGCCGTTCGTTGGCGCTAAAAAACTATAGATCGCTCCGTTTGTTGATAACATCAAGACGAACATCATAAATTGTATGGGAAAGCTCGGCCAAACTTTTAGTAACTGTATATAAGCACCAAATCCTTTTGCAGGCATGTATACTATAAAAGTCGTCACGAACCAAATTAACCAGAGGGCGTAATATCGAAACAAGACTATGCGGCTTGGCCACTAAGAGATTGATGCGAAGGAACGTGTGATGAGAAGATGAGATTTTTTTTTTCACATAGAAAAAATTTATAAAAAAGCATTATGGGCGAATATTTGAAAGTTTGGGAAAGTTTAAGATTTAAATATCCGAGTAGTGAAACGTTATAGCACAATAAAGATGTTTGTAGTGCGAAAAAGAATATTAGACCATACCACCTTACAAGTAAAAAAAAAAAAAATTTTGCCGAGCACTCCTGAGTCTTTTTGCAAAGCGTTTTTGGAAATACCATAATTTTTTTGCCTATCCTCGCGGGGTCGCTTTTTTACACTTTTGCGGTGACATTCGGCAATACAAATACCTTTTTTTAATAGTTGTACTGAAATTACCGAAATATTCTTTTAGCAAAAGTTTAATGATTCTTAGTGAATTTTAATTTACTGCCATTAGCCTAGTACATGGGGGTGGTAAGAACTGAGAACTGGTGTGGGTAAGTACTAGGACGGGGTACTTGAGGACACTAAAGTTTGGAACAAAAAAAAAAATGTTTTTTTTTTTAATTCCCTTGCAAAAATACTTTAGACTCAAGGGTATAAGGCGAAGAATACTTGTTCTTTTACTAAGTTTCATAATTATAGTTAGCCGCCTGCAAATACTCCTAGATACTTACCACATATCTTCAACTTCAGAGCTAGTTAACCGTTACCTTCTAGATCAGTGGTGAAAGTATCCAAAATGTGCCACTCTTTTCGAGTGAGCCACCCAATTATTGTTCTGCTAAAGCCGTTAAAGTGAAACGTAGTATGTATTCTAATCGTATATGAAAACCAGATTTTGTTGCATAATAATTTCCAAAGAACTTTTATTCAGTTGAAAGCATTTTTTGTTTTTTTCTTATTTTGTTTTATTTCGGTTTGCATTCTTTTGGTTTTTTCTTTTATTATTATGTTTTCTTCATCTTGTTTAATTATGTTTTTTTTTTTTTTTGTTCACCATTAGTATGTCTAATTAATTATAAATACATACATATATATATATATATGTATATGTATAAGAGTAGATGTAATGAAAATAATATTTTAGTAAATATAGTCTATTTATATAAATATTTATTTATACATTTCTAAGAAGCTTTTGAAATTGATTTATTTTTCTCTTTAGAGTAGCGTTAAATTAAAGTGTGCATTTATGGGGGCCTAAGTATTAAATTTTCACATTTAATGCAAATGCAAATGCAAATTAAATACATAGTACTATATGAAACTAATCAATTACAAGAAGAGTTCTAAGTAATTACGCACAACTACTATCGAAATACATTTTTTTTTTTTTATGATATTCGTTTGAATTTTTTTTTTTTGTTTGCTTTTACTTTTCTGTATGCGTCAGTAGTTAGGTTAGAACTTGGAATCGTTTATAAGTATTTAGTAAGTAGGTAATTAGTAGTAAATACATATAAATACATAGAATTCCTGTTTGCACATTGATTCACATTTTCATTTCTTGTTGTTTTTGTTGGTCAATTTTGAAAAAAACTTGCTACTCCGTATCATATTTTGGTTGCTTTTAAGCAAAAAATTGCATTTCCGCATTTCCAAGTAATCTAAATAGTATTTATGTATCTAGTTTTATTTTATTTTGTTGTTGTTGTTTTTTTCGAAATAATTTACATTTTTATTTACACAGTAATTAGTAACACAATTAGTGCTGCTCTTTGTTTGCCAAATTTTTGCTTCTTCAATTATTTTTTTTTATGAATTTGTTTTTTTTTGTTTTGTTTGGTAGTATGTATGTATGTATATTTTTAATTACATTTTCGTATAGTACAATGCTAGTGAATGTGTGTGTATATATGTATGCATATAATTTTACAATTAAAAATGCCTTTTCTTTTTTATGTTATACGATTTCGGTTTATATGTATGCATATCAATGACTATTTTGCGTTGTATACAAGTATATATGTATATATGTATGTATGTATGTATGAGAATTTATGTATGTACTTAGTATTTAAGTATGAACATTTATTATATGAGTTTGTAAAATTGTTTGCCATTTTTTTTTTAGTGCGGAATCTCTATCTGAAGTGGTGGATGCCATTTCAATTTAAAGCGGCTATTTATTTGGTTGAACGAGCTTTTTACACGTCTCCACTCTACATACATACATTTTGGTCTCATATTGCAAAGTTTAGTTTAAAAGAAAGTAAGCGTCCAATGAATATTTGTTTAATGCCCGATATAACGGCCCTAATATGCTTGTATTTGAAATTTTTATTTGCTTTCACGAATATGTAATTTTGATCTAATACTAATTCTTTTTTTTTACACACAAGTAAAGCTTGGTATGCATTATTAATTTGTTTATGCATTTGAGTCTGTTAATAAAAATTGTATATTTGTTCATTATAGCATAAGAATAATTTAATACATATTACAACTATTTAATAGACATTTGGTTTTGTATTTATTATTGAAAATTTTCATCACTTTTGAGTACACCTACGAGTATTGTATGTATGATACGTAAGTATGTATGTATGTATATAGCCTAATATTATTGAGTATTTGTGCTTTTGCTCACATTGTTCTTAATTTCAATTCATTACTTCATTTAAATATGTGTAAAAGTGTTTTTAAATTTTTTTATTAATTTTTTTTTTATCATAAATTTAATGTTATTTTTTTGTGTTCGCTATTAAGTATTGTTAACTACGCTTGTTTCTACTACCTTGTTTTTCTTTTGTTTGTTTACTAATGAGATTGGGTGTGGGAACTACTTATGTCATTAGGATGCAACACTCCATACAAAAAAAAAAAGATCGGTACTGGTTTTCCATCGGAATAATATAATTTATTATATTTTAAGGCTTTCGTCACAATATTTTGGAAAAAAATGTTAAGAATTACGTGAGCAGAACCGTTTTGGAAATGCTTCGAAAATTATCATTATTTTGATTCCGTTGATAAAATGTTCAAACCTTTTTCTGCAGACCTTTTAAGCTTAAGCTCCTCCATCGTCTGAAGTGATAAATATTTTAAAAACCGAATTTTATTCATAAAAACTTAATTTTTCAGAGGTATGCACTTTTAAATCGGTCACATAAATCTTAATATTTTTCCGAAATATTGTGGCGAAAGTTTTAAAATATAACAAATTTTATATTTCCGTTTGAAAAACAACGATTTTGTCCGAGGCACCCTAATGTACATACCTTCATATATGTATGTGTAAATGGGATACTTGTTTAAATTAATTACACGACATTATATTTCTCACTTTAATTTGCAGTATATTTATTTTGGTTTTATTTTAATTTTACACAGAGTTGTAGGAAAATACAAACATACATACATTTGTGAGTAATTTTTATAGATTTTCTCTTCTATGCATATTCGCGGCTATTCAACATTTTATAAGTAAGCAATCACAAATTGGTTTTATTCTAATTAATTAATTTGGTTTTTGTTTCTTCAATTAGATTTTTAAGTATTTTTCTCACTTGACCGCAGCCCTAATGCACATTTGCCGGCTATGAAAAAGTTTTAATTCCAATTGTTTTGCGTATTAATTTCCTTTGCTTTTATTCAATAAGCCCATTCACATAAACCACTACTTTTTATTAGGAATTGTAATTAACTCTTTGTATGAAGTTGTTTTTCTCTTTTTTTTTTTAATATTGTGTGATTTCTATTTTTTAAATGCGTTCTACATAGTAAAACTTTTACAATTTCTACGAACAGCCTTTTGTTAAACATGTTTATCATATTTTTTATTTTTAAATTTACGTGCATGTATTAATGTGTATTTTTGGTTTTCAAAATTTTGCTTGAATTCCAATTAATTTTTAGAAATGCTGCATACTAATGTGAGGTGAAGATTTTCGGT